GAGAGGACGTGAAGGACCAAGGTCACCCCTGCTTGCATTCTTACCCTTGGAATTTTCTTCCCAGGGAGTTGGTATTCCTTGAGCGTGCCAAGATCACTTCTTGGGTAAGATACTCTGGACTCTTCCATCAGGAGAAAACTCAGGATGTTCCAGCAATGTGGTCTGAGCTCAGTGTGGAGAGATGGTTATAACTCCTGTATATCTCCTTTAGTTGGCAGTTGAAAATCCAACAGGGGTCTGGATTGGAATGACTTGGTCTTTTGAAAGCCTGGTGCTCTCATGGAATCAAGTGGAATCTGAACCCAGGTTAAGATCTCCTGAATTTCTTGAACCATACCATTATGGGAAAAACAAAGACAAAGACTCCTCCACCCCCAAACACCAGATGATTCTCCACTTTAAACATCACCATCCACATGGATGATGTTCATGCTGAACTGGGAATAGACTCTCATACGTGTGCATCTCAGTGAATGCACACTGAGAAAGAGAGAATACGATGCTCCCTTTGTGGCTAGCTTAGTACCTGCAGCCATGAGAGTGCTCTCACGACCTCCACAGAGGGTATGGACTAGATAGGTAAGTAGAATCTAACCACAGCCTGGAAGGAAATAATGGGGCCGTAAAGGTTAGCTCTTATAAAAATTGCGGCTGGTAAGCAGTGTGCTCCAAACTCTTGTCTGTTGGAAGGTAGCAGAGCCCTGCAGCCTACACTCCCAGTGTGGACCGTCCCTATACTAAGCTAATGTTTAATTCAAGGTAACTTCTTCATCTAGACTAGTCTCTCCTCCCTCCCCATTTCAGGGATTGAACACAGGGGCCCTGCACATACGGGTGAGCAACGCTTTGCCACAGAGCCAAGTCCCTAGCCCTTACTTAAAAATTTGAGCTGGGCGGTGGTGGCGCATGCCTTTAATCCCAGCACTTGGGAGGCAGAGGCAGGCGGATTTCTGAGTTCTAGAGTTTAAGGCTAGCCTGGTCTACAGAGTGAGTTCCAGGACAGCCAGGGCTACACAGAGAAACCCTGTCTCGAAAAAAAAAAAAAAAAAGAAAAAAGAAAAAAAAATTGAGACAGAGTCTCATTAAGTTGCCCCACCTGGCCTTGAACTCACACAGACCTTTAATCCTCCTGTCTCAGTCTTCTGAGTAGCTGGGATCACAGGCCTCTGTCACTTTCAGAACACATCATTCCTACCCAAGGGCCCTTTCTTAATTTTTGTGGTATTGGGGATCAAATCCAGGGCTTTATACAGTATTTGGTTACTGGGGTTACATCCCTAGCCCACACTTAGGCAGCTTTAAAATACTACAATTCCTCAGGCCCCATCCGGGGAGATTTTGACACAATTGTGACAGGACTTGGTCTTCTGCTCTCGTTTGTGTTTAATGTAGGTATCACTGACTGCCATATTTTGATACAGTGTCAAAGGGAGAACATAACTGAATCATGCATGCCCTTAGAGCGTGGAAGAGATGGCCAAGATGTTAAGTTTTCTCCTAGCCTCTGATAGCATCGGCACCTTTCCTCTGAAAGTGCCCAAGCAGCTCCCTGGCTGTTCCCCAGACATCACGTACTCCAACTGTGACCTGTTGAATATGGGCTCTGGCTTTGCTTCGTTATGTGTCTAGTTTTCCAAGGTGAAACATTAACTCGTCTCCTTCTGTTATGCATCATAGCAGCTCTGGTGTGAGGATGAAGTCCAGCTAGTCCTGGGGCAGAGTGTGGGCTGGGCTGGTTTCCTGTGTGGACAGGCAGGGCAGGGCCTAGTTTGGGTGTGTCTAGGGAGTAAGGCTCAGGGTTCACCCTTGGCAAATGTTTAGCCAGAAATGCCTTTGCTAGTCTCTTTTCAATGTCCTTCTTTGGGAAAGTGAGTTGCAATGGTGTTTTGGAAAGGCTCCAAGGAGACAGTTGTCATACCCTTGGGCCTTTTTGGGCCGAGGGGCAAGGGCCAGCCCAGGCAGAAGGCAGGTGCCTATTTTAAATAAATGCTCAACTCTCTGAGACTACTCTAGAGCAAAGACACCTGCTCCTTAATTTCTTTTTCTTATTTTGAGACAGACTCTGTAGTCCTGGTTGTCCTGGAACTGGTTATATAGTACCAGCTGGCCTTGAACTCACAGAGATTTGCTTGCCTCTGATTCCTGAGTGCTGGGATTAAAGGTGTATGTGGCCACTATGGCCACATCTTTATTTTCTTTTCCCAGAGTATGGTCTTCTGTCACACAGCCTTTTCCTCAGGCTGACTGGCACTGCCCTTCCTATATGGAGTAAGGCAGGGAGGGCTGTGAGAATGGCTGGGATTGCCTGGGGAAGCCAGGGAGAGGACAGACATTCCCACCTCAGGACATCTGTCTCAGAACTGCCTTGATTCAGTAAAGAAAGCCCAGGACAGACACTGCTTTTTCTACATGTTACACCTTTGTCCTCCTTAGTCTTTATTGCCAATTTGACACAGCCAAGAGTCACTTGGGGTGGGGGTGTGTCAACTGAGGGGCTGCCTAGATCATCATGCCTAGATTAGGCTGGCCTGTAAACTGTTTGCTCCCTAAGATGCTTTGCCATGGTGTTTATCACATCATCAAAAAGCAAACTCTGATGGTATTTTCTGTAAACACAGAAAAGACTGAAAACACTATCGGGTTATAATCCCGATATAAGAGATATCTAAACAACAGTAGGGCTGGAGAGATGGCTGCTCTTTCAGAGGACCTGGGTTTGGATCTCAGCATCCATATGGCTTACAACTACCTGTAAAACCAGTTCTAGGGGATCCAATGCCCTCTGCTGAACCCCTTGGGCACCGAGCATGAGTGTAGTACACAAACACCCAGCAAACTCTCACACACATAGAACAAAAACAAACACCCAGCAAACTCTCACACACATAGAACAAAAA